CTGTGGTCCACATCTCACCCCTTACTAAGGTTGCTAATTTTGGTCCAGGCTCTACCCCCACATCCCCTCATAGCCATCCTAAAATACACTCTATTAGCTGGGAGAAGGTGATCTGACCTTACTTTCTCCCAGCACTGCCAATCTGACAGTGGTTGGGTTGCTCTGTTAAAGGGCCTCGAGACCTGACCAGGCCCCTGATCAGATCAGATGCCCATCAAGTGTCCATGTCCCTGAGTGTGATAGAAACCCGATGTGCCTCCAGGCGTGTGGACCCTCTGGCAGCATAAATGGCTACACTGCTTGTAGTTCCACCAGTGTTAAAGCATATTCATTCTGATTTAACTTGATATTATAAAATTCCTATTGCATCTGTTTGCCAGTAGGTACATGTTAGGTGCATATATTTTTTTTATTTATTTCTTATAGGCCTGATGCTTGCTTGTCTGTTTTTTTTTTGTTTTTTTTTTAATAATGTAACACAGAGATAATCTGTGAAAATGACTATTTATTGAAAGTAAGTTGGAAGCAATGTGTACAGTGTTAACACTATCATTTGAAACATTTATCGGATTCACATGGTACTGCTTGAAATGCTGGCTCTAAGACAAATTCCAGCTATACAAGTTTTGGCTGTAGGCGTTGAAACTCGTATGTGCAAGTGGGAGTGAAACCAAAGGCTTTCACAGAGATGGTCTTCGTTTCTCAGAAAGCATAGTTGGCAAGGAACATGTATTGATGATTAACTATATCTTTCTTGACAATTAATACATACTACATTTAACATCTATGCAGTTATGTGCTAGAGATAATGCTTCACATTTGTATAGATTAAAGAATTCATTTTGTGCTATTATCTGTTAAGTATTTGACTGTTGTCTTACCAGGTGTTACTGAAAATGGATCCTTTGTGTCTATGCCAGTCCAGTGGATTTTTCCTTTGTCATGATTACCATGATGTTCTCCTTCCACTTAATCAGTCAACCATGAGTGTATATGCTGCATTATTTTGTCATTTTGCTCAGCAAGCATTTGTATTTGCTGGCCTTGTCACCACTATAGCTTCTTATAGACAAATCAACATGTGACATAAATGGCTCTGACTATTTGCTACCTATCAGCTTTAAAAAAAATCTATAATATTTTGGGTCTTTACACACAGTTTTTACATAGTATACTCTTTTACCTGTATCCTTCTGTCTCACTCTCCCTGATCCAAGGTTCCATTCCTTTCTCATTCTTACTCATTCTCTCACTTTCATCCACTGTTTGTTAACACTCATCCCTTCTCACAGGAACACTTAAAGATTCACTCACCCTAGCACTTGTAGTCTCACTAACTTTACACTGCATGAACTCCTTATATTGCATTCCTTCACTACCCCTGCTCACACACCTCCTTGTGCCATGAACTGACTCTGCCCCTGTCCGTACTCCCATCCTCACTACCTCTCCACTTTCCAGCATGCATGCTCCTTTTTCCAGTCACATCACACATCCTTCAGACATCCACTGGTCCTGGGCTTTTGATTGACCTCTATTCCAATTGCCTGCAAGTGTGCATCTAAAATTGCTTTGTGAAGGTGGTCATTCTGAAAACTCCGTCCATTGCTTTGATGATGCATTGGATGCTTCCTAGAAATATTTGGGAAATTATAATGTTTGTGCTTCTTTAAAA